AGACTAATGGAAAAAAAAACCATGTTAATATTTCCAGCTGCTGGAGGTTCTTCTGCCCCTGAAAGATCTGGAGGCTCGTGTGAATGCTGCCGCAGACCTGATAACTGAGATTTATACAAACATCAATCGTGAAGCACTCAGTTTTGCTGCTGCTTCCTTTTACCATAAACTGAAGGCTGCTGACAAGTATATACCGGAGTCCAAGTATCATGGAAATGTGATGCTGATGCGGGCAAAATCTCACAATGAATATGAAGAAGGTCTGGGTGGCGACTACAGACTCTCAGAGGTCAGTCTGAGGCCTACTGGTGACTGTTGAGGTTCTCCTTTATCTCCCACTGATAAAGAGGAGCATAGAAAATCATCCTTACTGAGGGAGAAGGGATGAAACCAACCTGAAAGAAATGATCATTCTGCAGCTATCGTGTTCTTACAAGAATTGGAAATCCCCAAAAGCAAATGAGTTGATTGGTTCCAGACACTTTCTCAGGGTAGTGAGGGCCAGGAGAAGGTCTAGCCGCTGTATTAGATAAGTGTTTTCTATAGCTGATTCTTGCAGCTCTCTAGACAGACTTTCGGTAATAAAGATGTTAAGAGAGAGTAACTTGACAGAAGTAACTTTTAGGGGCCTACAGTGAAAGGAGGAGACTAGATTTTGTCCACTGCCTGAGGGCAGACTTTTGAAGAGCAAGTGTCAGCCTTCTGACAATAGAGGCAGCTTTTTTTTAGTTACCTTTTGTGGACCACTTATAAGTTAGTATGTGGGTTTATTATGGGCCTAAAAAAACTTAAGTTTTTGGCCTGTAGTCCAGGTAAGGTCACTGTTCTTTAGCCCCTGTTCACATAAAATGGTCAAGTGTCTTACATTATGCTATGGATACTAGGGAAAAGGAAGCGATTTTCAGAATTGTCCTCCTGCTTCTGGCATCTCCTACCCCTTCAGGCTTCTAACTTAAATTCATTATTGATTCCAGGCTAACTTGTATGTTATTAAAGTTACATAATGACCTTAAAGGAAGATTCATGGTGGTGGGAGAATGATTAGGTGGAGGGGAGAGTTATTTAGTTTTCTTAAGGGCTTGGAAGTAGCTACTTTATCATTTATTGTTTGATACTGTAGGTAAATTATTCTGTTAGTATCAGGTTGGTTTGCTTCCTGCCCAGCTTACATTTGAGTGGATTACCTGCCAGGCTGTCAAACTATTGTGCTTTAAAACACTGTTCCAAACCATGCCCTGCAGCTGATCTATGAAACTGTGTCATTCGAGTAAAACAGGTGCTGTTTTCAACTGAGTTTGATACAGTGGTGTAAACTGTAAGTAACTTAGAAGACTGATAAACCTAAAATACCTAGATAATCAGCTGGTTGTATATTGTGAATGTAAAGGTTTTTTTTTTTTTTTTTTTTTTTATATCTATGCAGGTATGCGATGGGAAAGTATCTGTCCATATTATTGAAGGGGATCACCGTACCTTATTGGAGGGAGATGGCGTTGAATCAATTATTGGGATAATCCACAGCTCACTGGCAGAGCCACGTGTCAGTGTCAGAGAGGGTTAACTTCTGCTTACTTACTGTCAATGGTGAAGAAAATGCCAACAACATTCCTTGTTATGACAGACCCCAAGGAACTCTTCCTGTTGTTCAACATCTCATCTGCTCTGCTGCCAGAACTGGGAAGTCCAGCTGAACTTGATCGGTCTTTTTCTGTCCCTTTCTTGCTCGTCTTTTCCTTTCCCAGCTTTTATGGGTTCTCTTTCCTCCTTCCCTTCCTATGCTTTGTTTTCCCCTACTATCCCTGTCTGTGTTACTCTAGTGCTGTGACTCTGTCACTCTGCACTGCTATGAGGGTTCCCCACTGATGGTTGCTTCCTACACCCTTGGCAGTATGAAAAACAAATTTAGGAGTAGATTTCTTGTGCTCTATATTGTTTTGTCTTAACAGTATTCCAAAGGGTATGTGATAGCACTTGTTGACCAAGCCCAGTGAGCAGGGAGAGGAGCTGCAGCTGATTTCGGAGATACCTTTTGTCTGTGAAGAATCTGTCTGTAGTTAGGTCAGAAAGAGAATTCCATTGAGGCTTTTGTAACTATATTTTTTTAATTTGATATATTCTAAGTATTTATTGTGTCAAACCAGAGACTTCTTACTTGGTTTTAATTTATCGTGGGTTATAGGAGAAAAGAAACATCCCTTTTTGGAGGGGAAGGTTTAATCTACAAGGCAAAGTTGCACATTTGTTAAACAAAAAGTGCATCTTTGGAACAGTCTGATTTCTTTTGTTTGGGTTGTTAGGGTTTTTGTCTTTTTTTTCCCCACTGCCCTGCCCTGTTCAGAAAGGAAAAGGTAGAAAAGAGGGTTCTTGCCATCTTCCACCCCTGAGGAGGGGGGCGGGGGGAGGGCGGATGGTTTGACAGATGCCGCTATATTGAACAGCCTTAACTTGGATTTGACAAAAACAGGCAAACCTATCCCTAGGCAGGTACTTTGTTTGTATTTGTGCAAGGTTCTGTGCTCTGCTGTATCAGAACCTTAGTAAAGTATTAAGACTATTGCTTTACCTATTCCCTCCCACCTCCAGTCTTACCACCCAACCAGACATTTGGAACAGGGTGGGAAATAGAATTCTTCAATGGTAACTGAACAAATCCTCCTAGCCCTGCTCTCCCATAACCAAAGCTCAGGCAAACATACAAGCATCTACCCAAAGCCCCTGTATATTTTATTTAGCACAGGGCTTGCTTAAGCCTTGTGTATTCATTTTCCTCTCAGTAATGAGAATGGAGACCCCACGTAAGTTAGCTAAGTAATCAGTTTGATGGTATGATTTTAAGATACAGTACCTTTTAAAGGAAACTTGCATAAAATTCCATTACAAAATTTCTTGCCTTTGCTATGCTGGTTCTGTCCTTTCCGAAATCAGTAAATCCTTGCTACACTTATGATACAGAGGAAACCTGGGTAGCAACAAAGCACCAACTAGGATGAGCTATTGTGCTTTTCAGAACTGCTTTAAAACACCAGTTCTCTCCATCCCCCAGTGAAGTATCCTGGTAGTACAGGAGCATTCCAGTGACAGGAATGGGTGGCTCTTTGCTGCAGGTTCTGACCTAGTGTCTTTTGCTTATACCACCCTCTGTTGATAGTGGCTGGGTTAACTGGTTTTAGTTTTAAAAAGTATTTCTTTTGTGAAATTTGAAATAAAACCAACATAATATCAGCTTAAAGCATTTCCAAAAAAGTCTTGTTCGTTTTTTCTTTTTTGTGGGGTTTTTTTTTTGTGGTTTTTTTTCTCCTTTGGTCTAAAGAGTGTCTTTTTCTCTTTGGCTTTCCTAGTATTAAACAGAATTGATCACTGGTTGGCTTTTTGTCTTATTCTCTACCACCATTTCTTAATCCTGTGTTTCATCTGGAATCTCTCATTTCTTGGTATAAAGCAAAAACTGCTGCTGGCATATCTTGATTTGGAGTCTGTAGAAATAATAACAATAATAAAGAAGATGTATTATTCTCAAGCATGGCTTCTTGTTGCCATGATTTTGGTACCTTAGATACAACCAAACCACACACCCACAAGATGAAGTGGAAACTCTTAAATTCTAATTCTGGCTCCATTGTTGCAGTTATGGACAAGCCATTAACGCTACTGCCTCAGTTTCCCCATCTGTAAAGTGGGACTAATGGCATCTACCTCAAGGTCGTTGAGAATGTTAGATAGGCAATGGGTATAAATGCTATTAAGTTGTTGGGCATGATAACTAGGTGTTAGGTGGTAATGGAAGGAGGGAAATGGGTAATGTGTGAGGATGAGATGCCTTACAGCTGCAAAGAATCTAATACTGAAGGGTGGCTATGTGAACTGGACATATGTGCATACTATACATGCACGTCCTAGCACAGGATGCTACATAGAACAAATGTAGACTGGTTGGTTGGTTTGTTTTAAATTTAACTACTAGCAGTTGCAGTAAGCCTGAAAAAGTTGAAAAAATCCTACTTGCCTTGGTTGTATTGAAAACCTAGAAGGAAAAAGAAAGGAGTGATTAAGCAAACAAGTACAATAGTTCTGTGCTAAAGTGTTTAACAAGTCTAAATGGCCTATGTGGAGGGAGCAAGGACTAATGCTGTTCCAGCTATCGAAGCAGGAGTTGGACAAGTTCTTTATATAAATACGAATGTGCATGGTCTCATCTAAGCAAAGCTTGAAGATACTGGTTTAGTAATAGAAGTTCTTCGAGAATTACTTATAGCCTCTATGCTCTCAATGTTCTTGTGGTTGTTATTTGAAAAGCAGAAAATTGTTTTGGTTTGGGGTTTCCCCCCCCCCTTAATTGTCTAATTACAAGCTGCTGCCCTGTAACCCATTATGTAACTGGCTGCTGAATACAGTGTGCCAAAAATAAAGACCTTATTAGTGCTGGTACTGCTTGTTGTTTCTCAGTAGTCCATCAGATAGACATAGCTAAAACAATAGTATCATAATGCAAAATCACATACTGCAGTTGCTTGTTTTGAGAAGACAAGGGCAGAAGCAAAGTCCTTCACATCTACCCTCCTGGGTGAAATTGAAGTGGGAGTCTCTTGTCAACTGATGGTTGCTTTCCATTCTCCTTTTCAGCTAGGTTCTCACAGGCTTCTCTACACCATGCTGGTCTTAACCTTGACACTGAAAAACACGGTCCCCTGCTGGCCCTATAAATTTACTTAGGCTCACAAACCCACACTGGTGTGCTGAAATGGTGGGCAGTAGACTTTAAATCTGCAATATAGCCTTAATAGGAAGAATAAGAATGTATAGCACATAGCACATGCATTCATCAGCGTTAAAGCTATTCTTTTCCTTTTCTATTCTACCACCTTCCTGAGGCGAAAGAAATGTGTCTCTCTTGCCAACAACAATAGCGAAAAAAAATGCAAGAAGGGTCACAGTTTAACAGAACTGGTGCCTTTAAACAGCACTATCAGACAGCAGAAGTAGAGAAGCTTTCTGGTGCTGAGATGGAGGTCAAGTAAAACCCAGAAGATTTAGGGTAGAGTAGTGATAAAGGAAGCAGGTGTTTATTTCTTCTGCAGTTAGTTAAGTTACCATAACTGAAGATCGGACACATTGCCAGCAACTCGGGGTCAAAAGAAAGAAAAGAAAAAAAAACCGGAGCAGCTGCAGAAGACAGAATGAGAGTGTTGAAGGAGGGTTGGAGAGGCTGTGTATTTAGAAGAGGAGAACTGGTTGTTTAGGCTTCTAGAAGGTAGTGGAAAATGGTGGAAAAGAATCAGAAAAGTGTGAAGCTTAGCTATTTCTTGCAGCAGGGTTCCTCACAGCCACAAGTGCTAGGAAGTTGGGGAGGGGGAAAGAAATGTAGGCTTTGACAGTGACCTTGAACTGTGAAGGCTGTCAATGGACAGGCTTCAACAGACTTACTGAACAACTGGACTATGCGTGGAACCCTGCTTAGGCTCAGGTGCTTTGTTGTTGCATATAACAATTTGGCGGTTTTCCCTTGTGAAGAAAAAACATCTAAAGCCCTGTGACTAAAGTTACACTCACATTTTGACTGGAGATGCATCATTTTGGATGTTCTGGAAGGTACTGGCAGCTGAGAAGAGGAAATCCTCCACTGTGCTCATCCCAGTGGTGGTCAGTAGCTTTATAAAATGCTGCAGAACTAATGGTTTTGTCGTGGGTGTTGCTATTTTCGGTTCAGTCAGGTGGATCGCTTCCACCTCTCTGCCCTAATCATCCGACACCAAGGACTGGCAAGACCCCCTCGTGTAGTCCAAGTTCTTGTGACGTTCAGCGACGGCCTCACCTTGGTATCTGACAGGGACGGAGGCCAAAGTGCAAAACCAAAAATGCTGCTCAGGCCTCACGCGCTCAAGTGGGGGAGGGTGGGTG